CTTTATTGCCATCTGTGCTCAGGCAATATCAATGCTATATTATTAATGGTCCTTCATTGAATCTGATGCCTTAATGAATCTAAAATCAAGCGTTTATTTGAGACATAATGACAAAATACATTTTACAGTCAGAGACATGGGCATGTGAAAATTACTTACTCAGCAACCATTAACACAATCTTTTAAAGAATACGGCAATGTCCATAGAACAAACTGTTTCTTGATTATGAGATGTTCATTGTACTAAAAGAGAGAGAAACAGATGATAATTTGACTTGTACCAGTTATAACTCTAGTTGTACAAGTGCATTCAAAAAATTAAATTGATTATGTTAAAACGTGTGCATCCATTATACCATTAACAGAAAAGGCAACTTCTTTATTTAAATCCTGAGATAGAGAATGCGCTTTTACTTTTACTCTTCGATACTCTATTTGCACAAGTAGGACCTTTAAACAAATTAATTCTAATAAAACAATAATCAATGAACAAATACCATAAGCAGTTTTCACACTTAAAATACAGATCCACCTTTAATCTAGTGCCAGTAACACATTTATAAAAAATTAATGAACAAATAAATCAAGAAATAATGATAACAATAACAGAAGAAGCAATCTATACACTAAGGTCCTTATCAGCATATACACTTTAACTTTTTGTGTAGGAAAAACGCTAAACAAAATGATAACGTTAAAATAGTAATAAATTGATATGAACAAGCATATGCCCCACCATCAGAAATGTCAATAAAAGGATCAAGTGTTGGTATACAACTAACTAAAATTTCTTCAATATCGCCCGTAAATTACTTTCACAGAGAGTATGTTCCCTACCAGCTCAGCATACTGCCGGTAAACCTTGTGTCGGGACACACTGGACGGCAATTGCTTGGCCTTCCCATAATCCCTCACTCCAGGTATCCTCCCAGGTAGTAATATGGTGTAGTCTTCAGCATAGTTCTCCAAAAATGCTACCACATCTTTAATGCCTTCCACAGAAACAGCATGACAAGGAATGCGACCAGTGTTCCCACGAACCCTTCAATAAAAATTTTAATTACTCTCCTTTGGATTATTCTTATTATTTTTACCTAGGTTTTATTCCATTTTGAAGGAAATGCCTCCTCAAGTTCTTGTAAGTACCATTTCTGATACTGTATACGAACAAGAAGAGCTTCTTACATATCTATTTGTAAAAGATAAGAAATAACTTATTGTTATAGATATTTTTTGTTCAATACTTTCTTTCCCCTGTATTCATACTCAGTCCTATTCCTCTGAACTGTTTCACAAGATGTTGAAGACTTTTCTCACTCTCTGAATAATAATGACAATAAAAATAATAATAATAATACTAAATAATAATAATAATAATAATAATGATAATAATAATAATATTCCTTCTCACTCTCATAATAATAATAACAACAACAGTAATAACAATGATAATAATAATAATAATAATGGAACACCAACTGTGCTCAGGTATTAGGGTGGATTAGGACTCATCTAACTTTCTCAACTTTGAGAGCCACAATCTTATGTCTTAGGGGCACACATACCAAATGGAGATCAATGAATATGGCTGACAGTTTCCCCCATAACATTATTATGCA